AGCAACTTGAGGTTGCGGCCGCCCAGCTCCTCGCCCGAGACCGCGTAGATCGGAGCGATGGTGAGCGTGACGTGGCGCAGCCTGAGGGTGGCCACGCACCAGCGCGAGCAGGAACTCGAAGTCCAGCCTCCGTTCGCCTCGAGGCACAGCGAGGCGAGCCCAAGTCGGGCACGGGCGAAGATCACCACCCCCGCCGAAGTGGAGGAGGCTTCCGTGGCGTCGGCTTCACCGCCAACAGCCTTCCAGCCCAGCCGCCGCGCGGCCGCGCACAACTGGGAGTACTTGACACCCCGCACCCTGGTCTCAACCAGGACCACCACGTCGGCGGGCGTCTCCGCCAGCCATCGCTCCGCCTGAGGGCCCCAGCACGTGATGTTCCCGTACACCAGCCTCAGGGAGCGGCCACTGGCGTCGGAGCTCTGGCTACCCCCGCGGGGGGGCCCCCGCCGCCGCCTCCTGCTTGGCAGCAGTGCGGGCAGCGCTGGCGGCGCGGACGGCCTCCCGACGCCGCTCGGCCTCCAGCTCGGCGGCCTCCGCGGGGGTGGGAGACTCGGCAGGCGCCGCTGGGCCAGGAGGCTCCTGGCTGGCCGCCGCCGCCGCGCCTGCAGGGGTGCTGGCCGCCGCTGCAGAAGGGCCCGACGGCTGCTGGACAGCCACGCCCTGGCCGTCCTCCGCCTTGCGCTTCTTCTTGACCTGCTTGGCGTAGGAGACGTACTCGGACTGGAGCTTCTTGGCCTGCTCGGCGACCCCAGCGAAGGCCTTGCGGAGGAGCTCGGTGGCGGCGATGCGCTGCTGCTCGGCGAAATTGCTGAACTTCTCGCGGTCCGCGTCCGAGAAAGCAGGGCCCGTGACGTCGATGGATTCGCCGAAGTCCAGCCGCACCGAGTCGGGGTTCTCCAGCAGCGCGCCGATGTGCAGCACCGAATCCGACGAAGGCGCCGCCTCAGGCGCTGGAAGGACCCGCGCAGCGAGGTTGCGGGCCGCGAGCTCCACGGCCTGCTGGGCCTCCTCCTCCTTCTTGATTGCCTCGTCGACCTTCTTGTCGGCAGCCGCGATCTGCTCCTCGAGGCGGAGACGGGCGTCGATGGCCTGCTGGACCGCACGGGTAGCAGCGCGCTTCTTGGCCTCGGCAGAGCTGATCTCAGCCTCGCCGAGGGGCACCGGTGGGGGAGGCTCGGGCTTGAGCTTGAAAGAGGCGAGCAACTCAGCTGCGGCGGCGGGAGGCAACAGAGCGGCTGCCTTCCTGGCCGCTGCCACTGCCGCGGGTTCCACGCCAGACGCGCCGCCGCCGCTGCCGCTGGGAACGCCGTTGCCCCCTCCTGCGCCGCCCTTCCCCCCACCAGTAGGTTGCATGGCCGTGCCGCACCCCACGCAATGGCCGCGGCGAGCCAGCAGACGATCGTACGTCCAATGCCCGCACGAGCAGTACGTGTACGGCTGGAACTTCTTCCCTTTCTTGCCGCCGCCGACGCGGGTCCAGCCAGGCCAGTCCGCATCTTCGGAGCGCCAGGGCGGGGCCATGGCGAGCGCACTGCGGGAGAGACTGGAAAGGCAGGTGCCCAACTCCTGCGGTAAAGGCGCGGAAAAGCGTAGACTGGCCGCGGATTAGCGGTATCCGTTTTGGCCCCAAGGGAACCAGGCATCTTGAGCCAAAATGGCTACGGAAAGAGGAGGAGGAGGAGGAGGAGGAGGAGGAGGAGGAGGAGGAGGAGCAGGAGCAGGAGCAGGAGCAGGAGCAGGAGCAGGAGCAGGAGGAGGAGGAGGAGGAGGAGGAGGAGGAGGAGGAGGAGGAGGAAGAGCAGCGAGAGGAAACGAGTAGGAGCAACCAATTCTGGAGGCCTCGGCTCTCGACGGAGATGGGAGGGATAGGGCGGGGACAAAACCTCTCCGAACATCAATGAGTATGGCCTCTCCGGGCCTTCTTGAGAGTTCTTGTAGGGCTCTTTTTGACCCGTCTGAGGGCCCCCTTTGGCCGTCCTTAGGCGTTCTTGGGCTGTCTTGTGGGGCTTGGGCCGTCTTGGGGCGCTCTTGCAGATCCGTCGTGGCGACCCCCCCCCCCTCCTCCAGCGCATCTACAGAGGGCCCCTCTGTAAAAGCCGCAAACGGGGGATGCGTATCTGGGTGGCGACCCCCCTGGGGACCCCCCCCCCGGCGGGGAAGGGATCAAAGGGAATGGGCTTCCCTTCGACGCATTTACGACGTTGCTCACCCGCTCTTACGGCCCCTGCTGGGGGGGCTCCGGGGGCGCGGGCTGGGGGCGCGGGGCGCTGTTGACACAAGATCTCTTATGTCACAGGCCTCGGCGGCCCTGGCCGGGCGGGCCGTGGGCGCGATCCTGGGGGCCGGGGGGGGGGCGGCCCCGGGGTGGGGCTGGCGTCGTCGTCGGTGTCGTCGCCGCCGTCGTTGCCGTCGCCGCCGCTGTCGTCGTCGTCGCCGGTGCCGCCTTCGTCGGGGTCGTCGTCGCCGTCTTTCTGCCCCCCCCTCCCCCCCTGCCCTCCCTTGCCCTCCCCCTTCTTCTTCCCCTCCCCTGCCCCCCCCCCTCCCTCCTCCCTCCCTCCCCCCGCCCCCTTTCATCGGTCCACGGAGTCCTTCGACCCTGGGGGGACCTTGCAAGAGAGCGCGCCCCCGACGGGCGTCCAGCGATAACCCCGTCAGTCCTGCCGTGGCAGGCTTCGGGGCTCGCTGAGTCGCTGGCAGACCGTCGGGCCAGGTTTATAAAATCCGTTTAATAAGTTTCTCCCAGTCTGCCGGGAGAAACCCGCGCCGGCCGGACCAGTGGCGGCATGCTATCGAAGAAGAAGAAGAAGAAGAAGAAGGAGGAGGAGGAGAAGGAGGGAGGAGGAGGAGGGGAGGGGGAGGGGGAGGGGGAGGAGGAGGAGGAGGGGGAGGGAGGGAGGGAGGGGGGAGGAGGAGGAGGAGGATGATGAGGAGGAGGAGGAGGAGGAGGAGGAGGAGGAGAGAGGAGGAGGAGGAGGAGGAGGATCGGCTTCTGGGCGCAACGCTCTGCTCTGGAAAGTCTCCCGCGGGGTGGTCCAGAGCCGTCAGTTGCGGCGGTGCTGCCGAGTCCGTGGTGCCGCCTCGGTGCGCCTGCCTCCTGCGTCCCGCGGGGCCAGCGCCTGCCGGCGCCTCGTTCGCGTGCCCGCGTTGGGCACGGGCTGAGGGCTCCGCGGCGCGTGCTCTGCTCAGCGGATGGTGCGTGCCAGGTCTGTGGCACGCACTTCCAGCCTCGCTCTCGCTTGCTGGCTCGTCTCCGCGACTGCCGGCACACTCGGTTTTCTGGGACGCCATGTGCGCCAGGCCTCAGCAGTTTTTCGCGAGTGCGCCAAACTCGATTGTAGAGATAATGTGCAGCGGCTGGATGCCCGCTGGACATTCACATGCCTTGGCCGTTGGTTAGGCCGCCACTGCTAATGGCAAGTTCATCAGCTGTGCTAAGCGCTGGTGGTGCACGTGGGCTGATGTAGCCTCTGCCTGGCGCGCTGTACAGCCAGCCAGCTTGCATTTTACAGTGTAGTCCTTGGGTGGACTCGACTATGGGCGTGCGGTTGTTGTTGTCACTGTTTCCTTTCACTTGCGGCGGATTTGATCCTTTCCTGGAGGAATGAAACATATGTATATAGAGAGTGTCGTTCCCCAAATCATGTTTGTACGTAGGGGCTCTCACCTTTTACTCCTTTTACTACGGAACTGGGCCTGTCTGTCGGTCTAGCGGCTATGTTGTATCCGTCGCCGCCCCGTCGCCGCCCGTCGTTTGGGCTTGTTTGTCGGTCGCCGCGCTTGTTGCCGCCGTCGCCGCCCCGTCGCCGCCTCGTCGCTGCCCGTCGTCTCGGCCTTTCTGTCGGTCGCCGCGCTTGTTGCCGCCGCAGCGTCGCCTTCTCGTCGCCGCCCATCGTCTGGGCCTACCTGTCGGTCGCCGCGCTTGTTGCCGTTGCCGCCGCCGCGTTGCCGCCTTGTCGCCGCCACTCGTCTGGGCCTGTCCGTCGGTCGCCGCGCTTGTTGCCGCCGCCCTGTCGCCGCCTCGTCGCCGCCCGTCGTCTGGACCTGTCTGTCGCTCGCCGCGCTTGTTGCCGTTGTCACCACCCCGCCGCCGCTCCACATCGATTGCATAATAGATGTTGCACAACATAGATTGCACAACACAGATGTCACCACATATTGCACAACGTACGTCGCAGCACACATATTGCACCCTATATGGTAAGCTTTGGCGCAGCAGAGATTGCACAGCATACATCGCCTGTGTAGGTTGCCCCACATCGATTGCACAACGTATATAGCACCTTATTGACTGCAACACATAGATCGCATATCATAGATTGCACACCATGAGTTCCACAACATAGGTCGCACCACATTGCACAACGCCACGTATTGTGCATTTGCCCAGCATATGGCACCTTCTAGATCGCAGCACACACACACACATATATATATATATTGCACGAGATAGGTTTTTCGATTTATATTGCATCAGTTATGTGTCACCACTGATATCGCACCACAATGCAGTGCACAACGTGGATTGCACAACATGGATAGCATGCACCACATATGTGGCGCAACGTAGATTGCACACCGTAGATTGAGCCGCATAGACTGTACCACATGTATTGCTTCACATAATTTGCACAGCCTATTTCACCACGTATAGTGCACAGCATCGATTTCTAGAAACACTCTGTTTGGGGTCAACTCTATCTAACATGCGCATATACGTGAAGAGCGATTGTGCGTGGAAGCCGAGAGCGGCACACGGCACCCGTGAAACAGGAAAATCGGCAAACGGCAGCCGGCAATCGTTGCCTGCATTCGAGACCAGAGACCAGGGAGCCGAGAACCGGGACCCGGAAGCAGAAATCATGATCCAGGAATTCGGATTTGGAAACCAGGAGCCAGGAACCGGGAACGGGGAACAGAAACATGTGGCCCCGTTTTGTCGTCGGAATTGCTACGTTTCTCGACATGCCTTGTGTGTGACACTGTGCAACATGCCCAGCCAGGGCTGGCTTCTTCCCAAACTTCAAGCTGAAGCTGGCGCAGCACGAGATCGAGCACATGAAGACGGTCAAGACCAGGCTAGCCGGACATGACTGTGGGGGATTTGTGGCAGCATGCGCGTTCTTGGCTCCTTCCGTGGTCAGATCTGAGCGAACTAA